CCACCGCCGGCTCCGCGTAGGAGCGCCGGTCCTCCGCGGCGGTGGCTGCGGAGCGAGGGGGGAAGGGGCGCACCGCCCCCGGGATGAGGCGCCCCGAGGGGCCGGCACGGGCCCGCCGGCTGCGGCTGTTCCCGTCGCGTTTGGCACCCCTTGGCTTCCCGTCTCTGGCCAGTCCCTGGAGGCCGGTGCCAGCACAAGGCAGCCTTGCCCGGCGAGGGAGGAGCGCGTCGAGCTCGGTTCCCCTCCTCCGTAAAAGGCGTTGGGATCTGCCCGTGCCGGGTGAGGGGGTGGTGTGCCGGCGGGGAGCCCTGCTGCGGCACCGCTCCCCGTCCCGTCCCGTGCGGGACCGCACCGCTGCCGGCCGGGCTGCGGGAGAAGTGGCACGGCTACGGCCGCCCTCTCCCCCCGGCACCGCTGCCCCGCTTCGCCTGCTGTGGAGTGCCCGGGGAGAGGGCAGGAGCCACAGGACTGCTGGTGCAGAGCCGTGATCAGCCAGCCTCCTCCCACAGAAACATTGTACTTCTAGCTGCTTACACTGATTGTTCCTTTCCACAGGTGAAGTAGTTTCCAGTGAAATTTTCGTATTTTTGCACATTTGCTATAGACGAAAGACATGCAGACCTGATCTTGCTCCGCGATAAAACTAACATTCTCTTTCTTTTCTTTTTTTATTCTGCATGCCAGCAGAAGCAAACCGCATCTAAATAAACACTTCCAGTTAGCGTTTCTAGTTATAAATACACTTATATGTGGGAATCGGTGGCATTAGTCACGCTAATTACATTGCAGGTCTAGGTGTTTAGCCCCAAAAATAAGAAAGCCACAGTTACGTTTTAGCTGTCAGTTAGGTTTGGTGATTGTAGATGTTATGCTATAGTCTAAAGCTCCAGCAGTATTGAGGGCTCCACATCCAAGTACTATAGATACCTATATCATCCCTCAGAGAGTTCCCAAGCAACTGAAATACGCTTTGTAGCATGTACAGCTTTTGATTTTCATTATAATAATAATAATTTAAAATTCTTGCCTGCATTTTTGGAATAAACCAAAAGCCTGATCACTTTAGGGAAATGGGTATTTTCAAATCACCTGTAGAAAAGCACAGACAACATCCTCAATTTTACCAGTGCATTATAACAGAAATTTCACAGTGCGAATGAAATCTGTGTTGTGGTTGTCAGTTCTCTGCTACCTGAATGGGTGTTACAGGGATGGAGAAATGGAGAAGCCACGCTTCTGTTGCTGCTGAAAGTAAAAAACAAGTAGCCAAAGTTTTCTTGACCCCTTCCTATACTTTTACAGCACGAAGAAGAAATATTCTTTTGAATAATTTCTTGAATAAAAATGTCTGAATGTGTATTTAAGCAGACATTTTTGTCTTCTATGTGAAAAAGATCCTGATAATGCTGATTGAAGTAAAACAAACCCTGGTCCTGCATATACTTGGAGCACAACTTTACTACGGCAAAAGGTGCCCCAGTTTGAATGAACAGGGTTTGCGAGGCACAGAAGAGCAAGGCATGTGTAATGGGATTTGTAGGTCCAAATTCTTCATTGCTGTAAGGCAGGCAGAGGTAGTCTAGACCTTATTTTATGCACTGTTTAATTGGGAATTAAGTCTTGAGTTCTTTCTGATGGCTTAAAGCTTAATTTTGCACAGGTCATGCTCTGTTGGTCTGTGGTACAGCAGGTAAATTCATTGGTTCTCTTGTCATAATTTTACCTACAGAGTAAAATATAATTAACAAAGGCAGCAAGGGGCCTTAAATTAGAAATACTAGTCATCTAGTGGCCTGGCCAACAGCTGGTTCCTGCTGCTGACTCTGCACTGCTGTGCCTCTGCAGGGATTGCGGGTAGGAAGGGAGGAGGTGGGGACGGAGCTGGGAGCGTGTCCTCAGACATGTCAGGTATTGGAGCACCTAAGGACAGTTTCTGCTGACACAGGGGAGGGAAATGAGAGATGCGTGTGGACAAGGATCCTCTGGAGCTGGTGGGATTTGCTTGTGCACCCTCAGGCTCCGCAGACACTATTACTACATGTGCTGCATGTGCTCCTGTCTCAGTGAACACAAGCTAAACGCATTTCTTCTTCACAGATGGGTTCTGTGCAGACATACCTACATCAGTGCTAGTTTACTATGAACGTCATGCAGATTATGTTCTCTCATAACACAATAGGCTGCTTTATTAACAGTTGTTCAAAATAACCCCAGGTAACCTGTAAGTAAATTGTCTTTCCTAGCCAGGTCTTTGCTCCCATTCAAGATGCGTGGTTGCTATTACAGAACCGCAAGGTGAGAACTTGTATTACCACTGAAAAAT